TATATATAATGTTACTTCTATATACCCCGTTTCCCCGAAAATAAGACCTAGTACTATTTTTGGGAATTGCTCAAATATAAGACCTACCCTGAAAATAAGACCTAGTTGTGACCATACCCAGGTCCGGTGGTGACATAAGGGGAAAATGGAAGAGCCGCAGGAGAGAATCAGTGGCGCTAGAGGAGGCGGCAGCGGAGGGAGCAGAGCCGCATAAGCCGATGCCTCCTCTGTAGCGCCGCCTCCTGTCACAGGCGGAGTGATACCAAATGCACTCCGCCTGCGAGGAATCGATAGTGAAAGCGCGTTACGCTCATTCCGGCCAGCGATTGGTTACTAAATTGCTCTTGGAAAGGTACGGCACCCCTGATTGCCCTGATCACCATATTTTTGTACATGAATACATGTAGACTTTTCTACATGAATAAGTGTGGATTGTTGTACATTAAAAAAATTAAATAAGACCTGGTGGTTTTTTTTTGAGCCAAAAGAAATATAAGACAGTGTCTTATTTTTGGGGAAACACGGTAGGTAAGCAAAGGCTAAAACTTAATACATATGTATAGCCAGCCTGAATATTTAATTGCAGGTTTACACAAGTCGTATTTTAGCTGACTCTTCATTCTGCCTTGTAGAAATCTCCTGCTCATGACTTGTTACAGCCAACAGCTCACCAGACTGCTGTAAAATCACACAAGAGTCAGTTCTGTACTCTACTCACTAACTCACTACTGAAATGTATTATTCTGGGGGTATAGTACGTGATGTAAACTGACCGCTTTCAATTGCCTGAAACATTTTAGGCTAGATAGACTTTACATGAACAACAAACATTCTCATAATTTCATTTACAGATTGCTTTACACAAGTAAACAATGTGGATGATAAAAACATTACTGTGAACATTTTCTGAACATGGACTGACCTTTATTATATTAGGCAAAATATACTGACCTTAAAATAGAGGCTTGTTGGCAAAAATCATACAATATATTGAATGTATATACACATTAGACTTAACATATACATGTTACGGTCACAGCACAAAGATCTTATTTCAATGAATATCTGTAAAAAAATAAATAAGTCAAGGCAACTGGACTTGCTGTATTTTTCTTGAAGACGTTTTGCTGGACATCGACTAGCTTTCTCAAGTCAGAGGTCCAGTTGCCTTGATTTATTTATTACAGATATACCATGACCTGGATGAATGAGAACCTTCACAGACATATTAGAATGAAGTTCATAATATGCCCATTATTGAAATTACTGATGAAATATATTGAACGTTTACAGATTGTTTATAACAACTGTCTGATAACATCCTCCTGGCTGGTGTCAATTCACACAGCCGGAGGACGCACGGGGAGGGGGGGCGTAAGCTGTAAAAAGGAAAATAAATTCACCGAGCAGTCAGACGCGCTGCGGGTCTCCCTTTGCAATGTCAGGCGGCAGCTGCTCGCTGGGTCCTCACACCCGAAGCCCCAGGGCTGCCCTATTAGCTGCCAAAGTTGTGTTCTCCACCTGGCCTGTTTGTCACTGCCAGGCGCCCCCTCACCACCACTCAGTGCCCCCCCCCATCCCTGGGCCAGCGGCACAGGCTGCACCGCCAGTAGTTCCGCCCCTGTAACCATTGAAGGCATCCACATTGTGGGCAGGGTTAGGAAACGTATTATTTCAAGATGTAATGTCACTGTGGCACTTTGCACGTCTTGCCTTCCTGATGTCTCTAGAGGTAGGCTCCATTCTGTGAACTATTTGCTCAGCTAAGTAGTTAGCATCAACTTTTCTCAAATGAACTTGTAATGTAAAGCTGAAATCCAGCTATAAAGATTCACATATACTTGCATTGGTCCAATGCAAGTTTATATCATTTATCCCCGGTAGGGCCACGGGGATCTTGTAAAACACCAGTAGCTGGAGCTAATACAATGCTTTACAACAATCTTCTGCATCCTGTATGCCACTGTGCTGAGTGACTTCCCCTCTGCTGTGAGAAAACCTAGTATTCATTGATAAAAATCGTAGGTATTCTTTGAATAGCTGCTGTGCCGACCTAGTGACCTGGTTTTCACAGCAGAGTGCAAGTCAATCAGCACAGTAGTAGTAGTACAGGACCTGGAAAATCCATGTAAAGCATTGTATTGACTGTGGCTACAACAGTGATTTACAGAATCCCTGTGGCCCAGGGATAAAAAAAAAAAATAGGTACATTTACATTGGGCCAATGCAAGTATACATGAATCTTTATAGCTGGATTTTAGCTTTAAGATTCTAAAGAATATATACTGATGTCTGACTCTTAAAATAGGAACTGAAGTTAGGTATTTAATGAGATCCCAAATGACAATATTTACAAAGAGCTGGATTGGCTTGACTACAAATGTTCCACCCGATGACATTTCCAATTTGATTCTAAGATCCTGTTCGCATAGGAGTCAGCTGTAACACTATATTGCAGTGTGTACAACAAGCCTTTACAAAGCAAGCATCAGGCAACTTTGTTTAATGCAACATTCAGATCCAGTCTGAGGATGTTATGCACCGATCTTAACGGGAGTGCTGACTGTCACTTTGAACAAGCTGCTAGCAGGTTTTAGTGAGCTTCAGCAACCTTCGAAGCTTGTTCAAAGTAACAATGAGCACTCCCTATAAAGCCAAAATCTGGGCAAAATATGAACCCCTTCTAAACCACCCTGCCAACCATTTTTGTAATTTGTTTTAAGGTTTATGTACAAAAGATGCATCAGTAAACTGGTATTAAAAAAGAAGTATATAAGAAATATATTGGGGGGGAATTTATCAATACTGGAGCAGACAGAATCTGGAGCAGTGGCCCATAGTAACCAATCAGCTTCTCTCTTCAGTTTGTTTAGTTAAGCTTGGAACATGAAAGAGAAGCTGATTGGTTGCCATCAACAACTGCTCCGGATTCTGTCTGCTCCAGTTTTGATAAATCCCCCTCATGGTCTTTAGTACTGGCCAACTTTCACTTTATTATTTTTAAAGCTCTTCTTGGCAGAGAATCTTTGCATGCCGGGATTCTCCGGTCATATTATCTGTTAAGGGCTCATTCACACTGCACAACACGTGTTATTGTGAACACATGCTGCCGTGCAATGCTTGCTTTTTATTTACTTCTATGTAATTTATAGTGCAGAGTTGGAGTTCGTTTTCGTGTACTGTGCTTGTAAAAAAACAATGCAGCATGTCTTTCTTTTTCTTCATGTGTGCACTGGGCACATAGACCACTTTAGTATTTGCGGTGTCCTTGCATTGAAACTGTGTTGATAAAGTCAGATCAAAGCACTGAGTGTGAACGAGCCCTAAAAGAAATGCCATAGCACTGTTAACATATCAAAATCAGTAATTACATGCATAAGGGTGATACAAACCTATACTGAGAAAATATGGCGGCTGCCACTGCTGGCTGTCAGGCTGATCTAATATCTTCAATACTCTGTGAGCAGATGATTCAGATCAAATATGCAGATCAGGAGTTCTGAGACTCTACCTGTTGTCATGCTTATTCCAGGTTATTGACTCAAAGTACTGATGCCAGAGACAGCCCAGCAAGTATCATTCTTAGAGCTCCTACACCCTAACAGATATGCTAAGTTGCATGATTTTGGGTATATCAGCTCAGGCGTAGCTTGGCTGGTACAGCATACCTGCTCTCTCTCCACCATTAAGAATGGGAGCAAGTGTATAGACAAGGCTAGACAGCTATTGGTGGTATTATGAGGGCAGATGGGGTAATCTGTGACAAAAGCCATGATGGCTGAACAGTCTGCTATTTACCAGGCACTGGGGTTTGACACATCATGGATCGGAAGGAGATCAGCAATGTCAGCTCCTATATTTCCCTCAGTATGATTTTCCTTTTTAAAAAAAACCTGTGTGTGGTCTAGTGTGACAAACTCTCATTCCAAAGGTCTACACCACACACCATTTACACGAGGAAAATCGAATACGGGATGAAAAATGTTTCTCGTCTGTTATCTGAACAAACAAAACTCTACCTGTGAATGTGATTTTCACACATATTGTAATGAGCATGTGCTAGGCACAAAAGAAACCTGGGATTCCATTCTAATAGCAGGTCTGGGTGACATTTTAATGGCTTCTCAACCAAATGTGTTGACTCAATGATGGCAAGAAAGGAATGTTCTAACAGTATATGGCCAGCTTTAGTCCTCATGGAATATATTACAGAATCCAGATGACACAGCAGGGTCAATATTGCTCTCGGTCAAAGGATTGTACAGAAGATGCTGCCATTGTTGTGACAACGTCCTTCTACTCTTGCTGCAATCCTGGTGGTGACCGTGTTCACCCTCTGACTGCTTTGTGTGCTGGAGACCCCTCTTGTACACCCTTCAATGTATGGCCTTGCTGGTGGGTTCTCTAGTCTCCATGTAACATCCGGCCTGCAACAGAAATTTCTCATTTGTAACAATTGCTCACTCTAAACACTAAAAGGAAGAGTTTGATTTCCATTATTAGAACTAATATAATTTATACATTTCAAGAGACAAACACTTAATTTTTTTCTCAATCACTTTATTT